CAAGGAGATCCAACCAGTCCATCCTAAAGGAGATCAGTCCTGTGTGTTCACTGGAAGGACTGATGTTGAAGCTGAAGCTAAAACTAGAATACTTTGGCCACCTGATGTGAAGAACTGACTTATTGGAAAAGACCCTGATGCTGGGAAAGATTGAGGGCAGAAGGAGAAAGGGACGACACAGGGATGAGATGGCTGGATGGCATCACCGACTCAATGGACATGAGTTTGAGTAAACTCTGGGAGTTAATGATGGACAGGGAGGCCTGGTGTGCTGCAGTCCATTGGGTCACAAAGAGTCGGACACAACTGAGTGACTGAACTGAACTCAAAATGAAAGATAATTAGAGGAAAGAAATAAAAAACTTCATCTTGTATCGCAGACCAAATAGATTCCACATAGAATTCCACAAAGAACGCCTAAGAAAACATAGTTGTCTCAAACCGTGATTCCTTTCCTTCTCCCGTTAGCAGCACAAAGTTGATGATGGAGTCACTGAAATCTCTTTGGTAAGTGGTCAAGTTTCCTTTTCTTAACTCAAATGAAGTGACTTTCTTTTCAACATCTGAGTAAATCTTTTCCCACTGTAACAGGGTAATTAGTAATGAGTCATTTTAGAATTATAGTTTCTAAACCTTTTTTTTCTTTTAGAATTCTGCTTTCCCTAAATACTTTCTCAAACAGACCTTTATCCTGTGTGCACTGAGCTTGTTGGGTTACACTACACTCTGTCTACAAATCACCCCAAATTCTTAGTGGCTTAAAATAAGACTTTCACTTCTTAGCCACCTTCTTGGTTCATTAAGGCTCCACTTTCGCCCTCACTCCAGGATGCAGGCTGAAAGAAACTGACTTCTGGAATAGCCCCGTCACCATGGCAAGGGGAGAGCACGGTGAACTGAGCTCTGGCTGGCTCAGTCAGTGAGAAGACGCGGACATCCTCCTTCCTCCCATCACAACGGTCAGATCTAGTCACGCACTGCTGATGGGTACAGGTTTCTTTTCATAGTGACAGCAGTGTTCTAAAGTTAATGGTGATGGATGTGTAACTGAAAATACTAAGATCTACTGAATTGTATACTTTAAAAAGCTGAATTTTATGAGAGTTATATCTCAATACAATTGTTGTATAAGAGTCTAAACAAAAGCTTAAAAAACAAACAAAACCTAGCCACCTAGCCATGCCTAGTGCAGTCCTATTGTATGCCTCGGAAGGAGGAAAACTAGAGTCTTGGTGAATTGATGCAGTGACTGCCAAAACTCATGTTTGTTTGCAGGTTTTATTAAAGGCCATTTGTGCTGAAAGTTACTTTATTTCCTGATAGTGAATATAAGCTATTCAAATAAATGCTGATTTTATTACTGAAATATCAGGATTCTAATGTAGATTCTAAAATATAGATATTAAATAAACAAATACACAGGAAATATGTACAAATTACATACATACACATAATCTTATCTTAATGTTTACAGGGCCCTGTCAAGAGTGAAAATAGATTTTAATATACCATATGGTACATATACCTAAATATTTAGAAGTTATAAATCAAGCTAATAAACTGTTTCGCGTCAGCAAATGGGCCTCAGGCTTCCTCGAATTCTTGGGCTCCTGCAGCCCGACATGAGCACGTGGCCAGGCAGGGCTAGCTGGGCTCCTCGGACAGCAGAGCGCCCTTCGTCGCCGCCCCTCCTCCCCCAGGAAGGGCTTCCTGCCCCCCGCTGCACCGCTGCTCGGTTTGGGCCCTGCAGATGCCCAGGCCTTTGCGTGTGATCTCCGCCTCTGCCATGCCCTGGGGAGGGAGGCCAAAGGGGCACACCCCTGGGCCCTGCGAGCTTCTGTGCTGAGGGGCACTGTCAGGGGGCCAGAGCGCAGCCCGTAAGCCAAGAGCCCAGAGTGAGTCCCTCTTACCAGGGCTTAAGGGAGTTGTTCTGTGAGCATAGAGTAAAATTTGACCAAAAAATAGCAGTGTCTTCATGAGGCTTTGTGTGCCACCTTGTGGTATTTCTTATCAACACTTAAAAACATGATATAGAAGGAAATGCTGAGCTACATACACTAAGGAAAATTTTTTTGAATGAAAGTAATTCCCTCATTTGAATCGTTATTTTTAAATATCATAATTAACATTTCTAGTATAAAATTTTTCTTATATCACCATTTTTTTAAAAACTAAGTTTTCCAAAATAAAACTTACTAGTTATGAGATTCATTCATACACTCAAAAAAGATATGTATTATGTCCATATACTGTTCTGGCACTAAGGACATACCAATGAGAAATCTCTCTGCCGTCCTAGAGCTTGAAGTCCAATAGGGTAGTGAACCAGTGACCTGTAGTTCCTACTGAATACATTTCTTTACTTATATCCAATCTTAAAATCCCACTGGTAGCCTTTTGCACAGACATCTTGTTTGGGACCCTTACCTTGAGCCTCTTCCACTTATTTTTGACTGTGTAGAAAGTCCTAATGATGTTTTGTTCAGAGGTCTGGAAAGGACTGGGCCATTTCCAGTTGGAGTTTCTAATCATTATGATGAGTAATTAAACACCAAAATAAGCATCTAAGAAGCAATTTGTTTTTCCAAACTTCTATTTTCCACAAGTGAATTTGTGATTGAGAGGGCGGTGCCAGCTTTGTGCAGTGTTACAAGAAAAGTTAAACAGGCAAAGGTCAATTTAATGCCAACAAATGAAAAAGTTTCTAAATTGGTAGCTTGCCCAGAGTGTGAGGACCAGATGGATTGATTCTCCTGCTTCCTCTAACCCCCCCCCCCCCCCCCCCCCCCCCCCCCCCCCCCCCCCCCCCCCCCCCCCCCCCCCCCCCCCCCCCCCCCCCCCCCCCCCCCCCCCCCCC